GGAGTTGTGACCAAGCTGATGCCTACCATCTGCCTGAAGGAATTTGGGCCCACTTCTGCCATAGAAGAGACAAGAGAACTTTGGCTCAGAACTGAGAGCTGTGATTCTGTTGCTGGGAGCACATACTTCACTGGCCATGTATGACAACACAGCTTAACCATGCCATCACAATCACAGATCTGTCTTTTTACAGCAAAATTAACAGATGTTCAGTTCTCAGCAGCAGCATAAAGTACCACTGGTATCAATGCAACTCCATGTAGGAATGTTAAATTAGCACTGTTATCTCTGTGCAGATATTCTTCTGCAATCTGATCCTTCCCTACTGCCATCAATATCTTGTTTTACCTTTTTCCCGCCCTCTACTTTCAATAACATGCATAGATGCTTAGCAATTCTAACAGCTATATATCGACAACTCAAATATCCTGATTTCCCACTCCCTTCACAATAACGGCCTTTAAACTTAAGCAAAACTATTTTCATAGCAGAAAATATTAACACAAGTAACTGCACAGGAAGTAGACTCCAAAATATGCACATCTATCAACCTGAAAGAAAAGAGACAACGCTCATAATAAAAGCACTCAGGACAAACAATTAGGCCTTTCCACAACCATTCCCAATGAACATGAACTCATAATTGAACTGGATAAGGATACTTAAAACTCATCAGTTTCAGATCTTTAATTAGGCCTGCAGAAACAGTGCTTGACTGTGCAAAATGAATGCCAGTGGTAAAGAAGGTTATGACTGAGATGGAGTCAAGGGCAAATCAGATTCTGGCCAATAATTCATTCCTTCAAAACAGTTACTTGCCTTATTTTCCATCCTATCTATGTAGAGTAACCCACAACTGCTTTATTTCTACTGGACAGTACAAAAAAAAAAAAATAAAAAAAAAAATAAATCACCCTCACTTTCATTTCAAACTGTTACATACTTCTCAGCTGAACAAAACAAGCATGCAAGATGAGTTGACCATGCATAGCATGCAAATCTGAAAGGTAGTCAAATCAAAACTAAATTTCACGTGGCATTAGTTTGTACTTTTATATAGTTCAATTTCAAGACTGTTCAGAAGACAGACTTGATTTTTTTTTTTAGTGTTATTAAAGGAAGTGTTTTCCTTCCCCTCACCCCTGCTTCTCATTGAAAAAGACAGTTGAAGTGTTTCTGTTTAAAGGATACCATTAGAGCTACTTACCACTCAGTGGGACTGGCAGAATTAGGTCTTGAATTCAGCTGCAAAATATGGTCCATTTCATTTTATCCTTTTAGAGATAGCAGTAATTCTCCTTATATTATCACATTATAAGAAAGGCTACATGCAATTTCTAGGATGGTGTGCTTTTCCTAAAATGCTAACAGATTATCACTTGTTGCAGGACACTTGTTTTATTTCCTTTTTCAGAATACACGGAAAGCTTTTTTCCTCTTCAGCAGACAGTTTAAACCTGTAGATACAGAATGCACTTGTCACTTCTTGTTCGCCTTAAACCCAGATGGCCAAGCAGAAAGGAGTGGGAAAAAGAGGGGGATCTGACAACAACCAAAAAACCTCTCTGCCTTCTGAGTTAGTAAGATGATTCAGAAAGTTATTAGTCATTTACTGCTGGAATGGATCAGCAGAAGAGGTCAGAGAAACACCAAGAGAACCATGTTTTCCTCCAGAAATCATTATAACATCCAAGCCTGCTAAGTTGAAAGTCTGCATTTGTATTTAATTTAGAAAAAGAGGAGAAAAATCAGTATTTGTTTTTTTCCTGTTCTGAAGTAGCCATATGGAAACTTCTGTATGAAAATAAAATGTTTAAAAATTCTTTCTAAATAAAATTTCTTACAAGTTTTTGAATGCTTTATGAATTGTTATTATCTCTTCACTCTATTGCAAATGGTTATCCTTTAAAGAGAGGAGAAGGCAAGCAGAATTTTGGCTTAATAAACCATATTTAATTTCCATTGTTATGCCTTGGGCAACTCCCAAGCACCCTCTCTAGCAATGTGTTGTAACCAGGAGCAAATTATGTTGCAATAAGAGCAAAGTTACCATTATTCTAAAGTCAAACTGCATTCACTTGAAAATGCGTATCAGTACCTGAATCTTTTTAATCACTTCACTACCTGAGCATTCATGTTTTGTGTCAGATCCAGGCCTGAACTCAGCCAATGACTAAATTATTAAGCATGCTACTGAGAAGACAAAATTAAATAAATCAGCATTTTTATTTTGGAAACAGAAAATATACTTATCAAAAATAATATGAGCCACTCTTTCAGGACACTCTTGCTTAACTAATATATCCAAAACACTTGAAATTTCATGTAGAAATAACTTTCTTTTCCTACCAAAGATATACAATTTTCACTAGATTGAGTTATGATCCTTGAAAACTATATTGGCTAGATACACATTTCAGCTTCTCAGAGATTACCAAGATTAAATCAGATCAATATTTTTGCACAATAGAAAGCTGATGAAATTCACCCACATCTGTCCTGAGGAGTTGAATTGTATACATGCAGTTTCAGTATAAAAGTATTACCAACCACCATTATGGCAGCAAAGGAAGAATTTTATGAAAGAGGAAAGGAAAACCTGAAATGGTGATTTAACTGTGATGGTCCCTAGATTCTCACTCAAGCTAGCATTTTTATTTTTTGTCTTATTGTCTGCTTTTGTATCTCCCACCCATTTGCTCTGCCACTGGCACTTAAATAATTGCTGGTGTCTTCTTCCTTTTCTGGATGTGCAAATCTTACAGAATGTTAATAAATAACACCTTCACCTAAAACCATTACTGGCACTATATAGCTCAGCTGGGTACAGGGCAAGAAATTCAAATAAACTTAAGTCACTGTCTTACTTACATTAAATATGGTAAGAATTACTTCTGCAATTGACTATATACACCATCACATAAAACAGAAAGAAATAAGCCCTCTCTGAAGCTATGTTTTCAGAAGTAAGACCACACAGCCTATTAAATACCAAATTGTAGAAATATTAGTAATTGTTATAAGAATAAAGTAGGAAAATCTACAAAACTTAGATTTGACTCAAGCATGCTCTGGTTTGGAGTAAACGAATGCATTAATGGCTCATTATATTTCTTTACAGAAAAGCGAGTGAAATGAGGCTAGCCAGATACTCAAATATTTAACCTCACAAGATCCTCTTTATGTGTTCAGGGTTATCTGCTTCATTATTGGTTTATACTGCTACTAGTGTGGTGTTTTCTTTCATAAGTAAGTAATAGCAAAATATATCTGTACCAAATCATTCATGACTGATTACCTCCATGTAGACATACTTTCTTCAGTATAGCTCAGGCCAGTGCTCCTGCACTAAGAGCATCTTTGCTGAGAAGTCTCAAAACAAGATTTGGTCAGCCAACAGCTACTATTTTGATTTATGTATTCTGACTGATTTGATTGCCCTTACCTCACATTATTTAAGAGCAGACATTAGGCTTTTTGAGACACAGGTACACAGGAGAAATGGTAAGCCCCCTTAAGATAGTATTCACTCTAATGTCTTTCAAAACACAGTGCTATTATCTTTAGTTGTGATGGTTGAGATCACAATGTAAAACATTCTCTTGATATCTAAAAGCATCTCTTTTAGAAGCTGCAACTGCTCTAACAGAAGAGTCTGCCCTTACATATAAACTTTGCTTCACTTACCTTTGTAAGGTGTAGGCTTCCTCACCTACAGAGCTTTCTTTCCTGGCAAACACTAAAAACATTGGAAGACTTGTTAGACTTACAGGTTAGTTTATTTATCAGGAAATCAAACATAAATAGAAAGTTGAGGAGGAGAAACTGGCAAATAAGTGACTGAAAAAAAAAAGCCAGAAAAAAAAAAGATGGAATACAGGTAAACACAACTGATGGAAAATGAACTAAGACAACCGTTCCAAACAGGGAACACAGCTGTCACCAGTTTCAGAGGAACATGCAGATGGGGAAGCACTATGCATGGAACCCAGTGTGGTACTGAGGGCTATATAAACCTTCATTAGTTTATCACTGAAAAAGACTACATAAATTAAGTAATGTTTTTTGGTGACAAAAGCTTAAGGCTTTAAGAGGTAAGATTAAAAGTTGGCCCTCTTAGAACAAAGGAACAATGAACTGAAAGCACAAACAACAACAACAAAACACAACAATTAGTTTTTGGTCTTTTTTTTGAGAAAAGTGATGAAGGCACTTTTCCAGGTTGAAAAAGGCCATAGATCAGATCTCAGATCAATACTGAGAACTTGTGCTGTAGGATATTTTGCTAAGTGCTACTGCATCTGTTACTGACATTGGTAAAGGTTTGTATCGAATGTTCCATGAAATATTAAAGCAAAACCGTGTCAGAAGGAGACACTGAGGAGAAGTACCTGGCAACACTAAGACAAGCTTCCAAAGCAGTGATTCAGTTTCTGCTTTGAAATTGGCACTATCTGTTTTTTGATACAACTTCCCTCATTCCAGGTAGACATCCTAATTAAGATTCTTGATGGAATGGAGAACACACCCTCTTACTCTGGTATATCTGTTAAGGAAATGCAGCAAAAAATAATAATTTAGGTTGTTTTCAGGAAAAAAAAATAATCAGTCACCACAAGAAACTGATCTTTTTAGTCAAGATCCCTTGTCAATGAGAACAGAGGCACTCAAGAAACATTGGCACGTCTGAAAATGCAGAACATGGGAAATTTTCTGATCAGAGATGAAACTGAATGAGAGGACTGTGCCAACAGGATCTTGACAATGTGACAGAAACACCATTAGCAGCTCTGTGCAGAAGAACTTGGGGATACCAACGGATAAAAGCTCAACACAAGCCAGCAGTATGTGCATGCAGCTCAGAAAGCCAAACTGAAAGTATTAACTGAAAATATTTTGACACCATAAATTAACCATACCTCATTCAGCTTTTTTGGTAACCTTGACTTTAATAAGTAAATTAAATGATTAAAAAAGCATAAACTTCTGTGGACACAAAGCAAAGTTACCATTTTTAATATATTATCAGGAAGAAGATAGTACTCACTTGTAAAGCCAGACAAGAAATTCCTGAAGCAGGTAATTTCCCAGGGAAATATTAATCATCTCTTAATCCAGTTACCGATCTTGCTCAGAGTACTTTGAGGATGGAGTTCTAACTTCAGGGAGATGGTTATTTTCAATGGATGCATATGTAAATATTTGTTCCACTTACTGTGGAAATGCTGAAGATACAACATAGCTTTAACATATTCCCACTGAACGACTCCTGATTTCATCTGAAGTTCACATTGTTTATTGTGGAAATGCCGCAGACAAACAGATCTAAACATAGTTTCACCATCAGAGAACACGACACTTCAAGGAAGGTCAAAACAAAATGGCTCTTAAAGCTAAAAAGAAGAGGCAGATGCCATTTCCTAGAAATGAAGGAAGGTAGGCTCCACCGGAGCAGTGTTAGTACTGGGCTTTTCTTTTGCACTGGTGGTAAATGAAAAGCCCAGAGCCCAGTGATTTTTTTTTTTTTTTTAACCTAGTTGCTCCAATCCAGGAATCTTTGGCACAGGAATTTTCCTTTGCTTTGTGACTACAAGATTATTCAGCCATTTGTTCTTATCTAGGCCACTGTTTTAACAGACTTCATTTAATCCTAGTATGGCATTTAATTGTATGTTGTATGTTGTGCAAAGAATGCTCTTGAGTGTCAAATTCTATGCTGAGGAGAGACTAATAGCATCAGGATATTGCACTAATTCTTTCTATTCTGCTTTTATCCGACTAACAATGCTATTGCAGAAGTGAACTGATTTTCCTTATTTATTCCCTACAATAGCCTTATTTGATTGCATTTACACTGAGAAGCTGACAAATACATGTATATATATAAATATACGTGAAAGAAGAAATAATTCCACTGCATTGATTTCAACTGACAAAAAAGTGAACTGCCGAATCGAAAGTTATTATCATGTAAACGTGTCAATATTCTATTTCTAGTTCACTCTTTTAAATCTAGGTTTAAATCTAGGCAGTGTATAGAGTTGCACTGCTTCTTCTTTGCACATTTTTGAATAAAAATAAGGCCTATTTAAAAACACCTGCACCACAGAGAACAGTAACACATGGCGTATTCTGTCAGTCACAATCATATATTTCACTTCCTCACCGCTCTGTATTAATTGTGAAGCTGTAGTCCTGAAACAGGGAATGTTTCCATTTGAAAACTTGTGCATAAAATAGAGTAACAATCAAGTGTGCATTTCTTAGACATCAATTAGAATACTAACAAAATAAAAGCTTAGAAAAGATTGTAGAACACTAGAAATCTTTTAGCGTTTTAAAAAGCAAAAACCTATCAGTATCATCACAGAAATCAAGATGTTGCTTTTTGTGTACAATTATTTGCACGTCACTCCTCCTCACAGTGCTACATAATCACCTTGGTTTTTTCCTCTTATTTCGGTGTCAGCAATTATCTGCCTAAACATTAATTCAGAAGACATTAATTAAAAACTGGAAGGAAATGGATCTTAGCACACTGATTTGAAATACTGTCTCTGATCATACATTTGATATCAAGTTCTAGCATGAAACTAAATTCAATTTAATCTAAGTAGTCTCTTGTCTGGAAATAGCACACACATACATTGTCAAATGATTTTCAGTACAAAAGATGCACAGATAAAACAGTTTAACTTAAAAGCTCTGAAGATTCCTAGGCATCAGTTGGGAAGGCACTTTTCTGGTCACGTAGTTCTGGCACATTGGGATTCAGCACAGCTTTGGTATTTCAATGCCTCCTTCAGTTTCTATGGAAGTGATAACCACTGACTGCCCAGTCCTGAACTTCTCCACTTGCAAATAATGCAAAGAAAATTGCTCCAAATAGATTAATGGAAGCAGCAATATAGAAAACTGTCTGCCATTCTCCCACAGTATTCTGTCAAAAAGAGGAATTAAAAAAACAGAAAAAGATACAGTTAATTTGCAGCTCCACACTCAAGAAAAAAATGTATTTTTAAAAGAGATGCTATATGCCTTACCTACTTAAACATAAATGCTACGCAATGTGACTTCATAGCAATATGACATTATAAACAAATTATCATTTTAGTCTACTTCAGTTTAACAATACATCTTACATAGTAAACATACTTCTGACAGATACTTCTGTCTTTCTGGATCAGATTATCACTGAGATGCACAGCCTTCACATCTAAATTCACAGCTGCATGAAGGCTTTGCAAACTCAGAGAACATTATTGTAACAAGAAACATGTCCTTGCTTTCTGATCAGATGACCCAAGAGCTGAAGTAAGCAAAGCAGTAACTTATTCTTAATGAGTATAATATCTCTATTCCAGAATGGTAAGGGTTTTTTTAGCCATGTGTGAATTTTACTCAAACAAGACAGTGTTTGTAGTAACAAAGAAGCTACATATACAGATGTCTTAGGAAGCCTGTTTGTTTTCAATTTTTATTATGTTTTTAAATAACAGATGTATATTCTACCAAAACCATAAATGATTGTACTACAAAAAGCAGAATAATATCAGAGCATTAGGATGAGAGGAAAAGCAGACAAAAAAAAACCCCAACACAAATAACGCCACCACTTGTTATGAATTTGGAAGAAGCTAATTTGTTTGGATTCACACTTTAACTAGTATTTTTTATATTTTTTTTATATTTTTTTTAAGGAAATGACTGACTACCAACTCCAAAAGTTTATCAGTATCAATAAACTTACTCTTCACTTTTTCTTAAAACATTTTAGAAAAAAATTATATCGTTTATTTAGAAAAGTATTCAAATAACTTTTCAATCATGCTTTCTACTTGGTATCACCCTTTGTCTGACTAAGCAATGTTGGAGGTCAGATTGAATACTGTTTAATTTAGAAGCAAAATAGCACAGCATAGAGCATCGTAATCACACAATGTTCATACAAGGGAGTGCATTATGAAAACTACACATTTGAATCTATGGCTTATCTGACAAGTGCTGAGTTTGCAAGTCCCAACCTCATGTGAGAGAACAATTCTGGAAAACAAGTAAGAGCTTGTCTTATTTTGCATGTATATGCCAAATATAACTTAATAGCTGTAGACTTGAGAGAAGAGGATTGCCATTCAGTGATGATAATGACAATGTAATAAAGAAAAAAAAACCCAAACAGTAAATTGACTTACATTATGAGTGAGGTTCTTAGCAATAACTGGCCCCACCATTCCTGGGATAGTAGCAAAAGAATTTGTGATCCCAAGAAGAATTCCAGCATACCTGTAAGGAAAATTGACAACATTGCTTATGAACTTATCTTGCTAATCAGTCACAGAAATAATTTTGCCTAATTGGATCACACAGGTTTCACTCTGATCACACATGCAAGTTAAAACAGAAGTGGGAATCGGTTGTTTCTGTTCTAGTAATGTCTCTGATAACTCATGACATATGTCTCCATTTTCCATGGGCCAGTTAGGGAATTTACTTGAATTACTCACACTTTGCTTAGAATCCATAATCCAGAAACCACATCCCCCTTGCTAAGCCACAAACAAACTGTCTGGAATGGATCCACCAGAAAAGTTAAAAAAGACACTGCATGCCTTGAAGTAGAAAGCAAAGAATATGACAGAGCACTGTTAGGCAACAGTGAGAGATGCTTCAGGTAACACTGCCAAAAAAGCAATTACCCCTAATCTGGATGGATATCCCCACTATGCTACAGAGTGCTGTTCTGAAGGCAAGAGTTCACAGAGCTCTGCACCGGTCCTCTCCTTCAGCTTTCTGTGGGTCAAGCCAATGGGAAACACGTCTGACTCAACCTGTTCTACTTGTTGCCATTCTTGCAGCTCCATTCTGAGGCTCCCTCCTCCTTCTGCTTTAGCACACACGTGCATGCACATGCACCAGTGGCCATACAAACTTGCTGGGAAAAAAAGTGGTAACTTGCTTAACATCTAAGTCTCAACACCTCATCTCTGTGCAATTAAACATAGAACAGGAATGTTGCAATACCGAAAAGTCATGTTTGAAACAGCAGCACAAGTACAGACTTGTCACAGACTCAAGAGAAAAAAGAGCAAGACATTTTACATCTGAACTCAACCTTCCAGCCACCAGAGAGAGATTTCTGTGATTCAAGATCTTCAAGGTAGGTTTGTTATTTGAACAATTACATAAAATATTATTATCAGTTGTACTTAACTACAGGAAAACCTCTGCAGACTCAAAAGGTGGGCCCAGGTGAATCTAATGAGGTTCACACAGCAAAGTGCAAAGTTTGCACTTGGGCCAGAGGAATCCCAGGCATCCATACAGACTGAGAGGAGTAATCCTTGAGAGCAGCCCTGCAGACAAGGACCTGGGGATCCTGGTGAATGAAAAACTTAACACAAGCCAGCAGTGCACTTGGAGCTTGGAAAACAAATGGTATCCTGGGTTCAATCAGAAGAGAGGTGGCCAGCAGGGGCAGGGAGGTGAATGTCCCCCTCTACTCTGCTCTTGTGAGGCCCCACCTGGAGTACTGCATCCAGGTGTGGAGCCTCCAGTATAAGAAAGATAGGGAGTTGTTGGAGAGGGCCCAGAGGAGAGCCACAAAGATGATCAGGGACTGGAGCACCTTCCCTATGAAGACAGGCTGAGGGAGCTGGGCTTGTTCATCCTGGAGAAAAGAAGTCTGCAGAGTGACCTCATTGCAGCATTTCAGTACCTAAAGGGAGCCTACAAACAGGAGGGGAATCAACTCTTTGAAAAGGTTGATAACAGCAGGACAAGGGGAAATGGTTTTAAGTTGAGGGAGGGAAGATTTAGGTTGGATGTCAGGGGGAAATTCTTTACAGAGGGAGTGGTGAGGTGCTGAACAGGCTGCCCAGAGAGGTTGTGGACACCCTGTCCCTGGAGGTGTTCAAGGCCAGGTTGGATGGGGCCCTGGGCAGCCTGGTCTAGTATTAAATGGGGAGGTTGGTGGCCCTGCATGTGGCAGGGGGGTTGGAGATTCATGATCCTTGAGGTCCCTTCCAACCCAAGCCATTCTATCATTCTATGAAAAGGGAAATCTCTCTTACTGCTTTCAGCTGTTCAGAGTGCAACAGTGTTCTCCTTGTTTTAACAATGAGAACACAACAGAAATACAAAATTGTAACTCTAAAGAGAGACATAGCTTTGAGGTTTTATTTTCTGGAGTAGGGAAATTCAACTACACATGGTTATAACAGGTTGTAGCATGTTGTAGCATGTATCCAGCCCAATAACATTATGAAAACAGGTGTTTTTCCTGACAAGAGTCAATTATCAAGCCATTTAGTTGACTTGCCTCAAAAGCCTGCCATACTCCAAACTGATACATACTGCTACATATTTTAAATTGAGTTCCACTCCTGTAATTAAATTATTATTATTTTACTAAATAAATGAGCACGTAACATATTTCTCTATGAAAGTGCTTAATGTGCTTTCAGAAGCCTGAATGTGAAAATGTGAAAAGCTTCCTTTTAAAGCCCTTAAACAGAACCAAACACATATTGTTTTCATCACCTCTAAGCACTAGAGCGCTGCTAATACAAATTTTCAAAACCACAGTTTAATAGTTTCTCTGGTCTTAATAGAGGTTTGACAATTAACTGCTGGCTAAATGCCTCTGTTTTTGCCTGCTGTTTCTGACATGGGTTGCATTTTGATAGCACTTTGTGTTTAACACAGATAACAGCTATGCCACTCCGTCAGCACAGTGAAGACTCCAATACGGAACAGGAAAGAAAATGTGACACATCTGTATAGCAAGGCAAATAGTAAGCTCTTGGTTGAAATGGCATAGTAGTCTAAGCGAAGTCAAACGGACTTGCAGAGTAGTCTAGACATTCAGAGAGCTAGAATAGGAAATCTCAGTAGAACTATCTTACCCCTCTGCTCCACACTCAACAATTCAGTCTACTTATGGCCTCATAAATGTGTGTTAAAAAAAAAAAAACAAAAATACAGAGCAAATTTTTTTTCTGCAGCATTAGTATTTTCATTCATTATTTTTTCCTGAGAATATAATCATTATTTCTTTGGTGTAACACAAATTTTAGTACCAAGAAAGGACCTTTGCTATTCTAATCAGCTTGCCTTAAAAAAAAAACAAAACCACACACACAAAAAAGCCAATAAAACAGGAATCAAAGTGCATTTTGAAATTGCTTTGAATCACTTCTAGTTATTCTAATATGTTTTAAAGGAAAAAAAGTATCAACTTCTTAAACTCTTAAAAGAGGTTTCTTTTACACTTTCATGTACATCCTGTTCTGAGATTTCCACTGCTATGTCAGTTTTTTCACCTCAGTTGAAAATGCTTGCTTTGGCCATTTCATCCAAGAAAGCTCAGACATTTGCAAAAAGTTAAGTAGGGGGGAAAAAGCTCTTTTAAAATCATTATTATTTCATCTTAGATTTTCTGGTATTTCTGCATTTTTTTTCCTATGACTTCTATTACAAGAGCATGTCCCATCCCTTCTGTCGTCATTTGGGCTTATTTGCCCCAAATGAAAGCATACATGTGCTTAATACAGAATTACTGATCTCAATAAAACAGTATCTACACTGACCACATTCCTGCCCAGTAAAGCTTTTCTCTCTTAGTTTCTGCATCTTATTCAATTGTTGCAAACAGAATTTTAACCAATCCAAGGTCTTTTGAGTAGCACTTTTCACAAGATCAGTTTATGACCACAACACTCTTGAGTGACAGAGGTCACAGTGTGATACACATCCTATAAACTAAGAATGAAAACATAGGCCAATAACACACGCACCTACTGAGTGACTGATTTGAGGTCCTCGGGATTTAATCTGAAGAATATTCAACAACACTGTTCTTATATTCAAAGTACAGCTCTTACTGACTTTGGTCAAGACTCAGTATTTTCATTTTTGCAAACTAGACTTCAGAGCTTGAAGAGACGTACCCAGAAAAGAAGGGATAAATCAGCTCAGCCTCAGTTATGTCACTGGGTCCACAATAAGCCTTTCAATAGATATTTTTGAAGTTCAGACTCAAATTGCTGCAGATTCCCTTTACATATTACAGTGGTCTGAAACACCTTCAAGAAGAGGCCATCCCTCTTTATAACTGAAGAACACTTAAAAGAGCAGTTTCCTGAAGTTATAAGGTTTAAATAGTCTGTCACAGAAGAGTTTGACCAACTGACTTACTACATGCAGACTCTGTGACAGAGCAGTGAAAGGAATGAATTCCTGGTAATATTCAGCTACCTTAAATGTGACCCTTCTTTTCTTCTGCAATGCCCAGCCTCAGCCATCACATACTAGAAAAGGTAGAGGGCTTAGGAACAGATATCAGTTTTCCTCTATAAACACAAAGAGATTCAAAATGCACAGACACGAGGAGACAAATCAAAACTGCACAGACATCCAAGTTCTGCCGTTAAATAACTCACAGAAGTAATTTCCCTTTAATGATTACATTTCGTGGTTTTAAACACAGACAAAATCCTAGCCAGTGTTTTACATTTTTAGCAAAGTTAAACTTGCTGATGTTACATTATGGCCCCGTAGTATGCCAGGTATGGTGATTTAACTAGATCTTCTGTATTCATAATTCTATTTGATATGAAACAAAGCATCACAGATGCTGTTTTTCATACTTTCCTGTTCCATTCACTGTAAACACTATACATATACTATACATATATGGATACTGGTGCCTTCCTTCTTGCTTGCTATCTCATCTAATCTGCCAAGATTAATTTGACTCCCACTATTTCGTGTATTTCAGTCAAATCTTGTCCATTCTTGTAGCCCCCAATGACCATCTTTCTAATTGCCAAAGCTTAGATGCCATTTTAACCTTGGAACTGAGGTCTCCTATAAGTGGCCCAGTTCCAAGGATTTTTTCTAGTTAAAATCTCTACAATTCTTTTTCCTCTCTGATCAGAGATAAACTATTTTCATCTTACACATTAGAATATAAACACTGTTCATTGGTCATGAAGTCATAAGATCCTGCTCAGACACAAGTAGTATTGCAAAAAGGTAAATTAACAACAGAGCAAAGTATTGGACTTTTATCACTTAGAAATTGATGGATCAGTCAGGTTCTGAATTTGTAACGCAAGAGAAGATTCAAACTGAAGTCCAACTTTTCATCACTTAGGAGTAATAGTACATACAGGATTTAATCTAGTGATAACAGGTCCTTTTAACACCATACTTTTAACACCACTACATCAAATATGATTTTCAAAAAAAAATTGCCTGAATTTTGGAACTTATAATGGTTTACTCATATTAAAATTTGGCAGTTCTGATAGAAAAATTTTGAAGGGTGAACCACTTAATAGGACAGCATGTTTGTAACAGAGCAATTCAACTAATATCGTGAATCAAATAGTGCAAAATCCTAGTAAATACAATTCCAGCAGTTTTTTATTATTCCAGGATCAAAATCTGAGGTATTCTAAGGTGTTCATACCATCTTCTGCCAATATTTATTCCCCGTCACCCCCCCACTCAAATACAAGCTGCGAGGCACTCCAGGAACACAGAAGAAATGATCATAAATGTATCCAATCAGTAACAAAAGCTTCAGCAATACTTACGAAGGTGCTATGTCCAGATGGTTGATGCTGTAACCAGATGTACAGAACCCTCCTAGTGTTGTCGATATGGTCACAAAAGCAACAGCCAGCTCATAGTTGCATCCTATGAACCCAGCTGCTACTAAGAACAATGCAGGTCCAATCATTCCTTTAAAACAGAAATTTTACAATTAAGGGACTTTATGCCAGAAAATTAACATGTTCTGAGCTGTGTGTACATACAATCTCCAACACCACCTAGTGCACAGAATCCAGCACTGCACTATGTGCATCACAGCAGCAAAGAAGAGCAGATTAGTGGCAAACCTCTGGCGGTCTTGATAAACACTGCACAAACCAGAAAAATCCTACTCTAGCTTGAAAGAACCAACTTCATCTGGAAAACTAAAAATCAGTGGACAGTGAAAGTAATGTGACAAGTTCATTTTATTTATCATTATATAAACACTAAACTCTGCACTGAGACTGACAGGTGAACAACGCACAGTGAGGAAGTTACTCCCATTTAAGTCTCTGTTTCAAGAGCCAACAGGGACTTCTGCAAATCATAACAAAGTGGAGCTGGAAGATTTCATATAAATACATACATACATAGCTCTTCCACATACACCTTCTAGAATGAGTGCCATGTTTAATATCTGAACATCTGGTATGTCTACACCAGAGCCTGCTGTACATCTTAGAGAACAAGGCTAGCTTTTGAGACTTAGAAACATAGAATGGCCTGGGTTGAAAAGCACCACAATGATCCTCTAGTTTCAACCCTCCTGCTACGTGCAGGGTCACCAACCACCAAACCAAGCTGCCCAGAGCCACATCCAGCCTGGCCTTGAATGCCTCCAGGGATGGGGCATCCACAGCTTCCTTGGGCAACCTGTTCCAGTGCGTCACCACCCTCAGAGTGACAAACGTCCTCCTAATATCTAACCTAAACCTCCCATCTCAGTTTAAAACCACTCTCCCTTGTCCTGTCACTATCAACCCTAGTAAAACAGTTGTTCCCCCTCCTGTTTATACGTTCCCTTCAACTACTGGAAGGCTACCATGAGATCTCACCAGAGCATTCTCTTCTCTAAGATAAACAAGCCCAGTTAACAACTTCAGGTACTGGAAACAATTTAGTTGGCATAGTAGCCACCATCCTTTCTTCAGTTAACTTTGGCACCCCATTTCCCCATACCACAGCTGGCTAGTTACATGACTTCATCACAAACTCCAAAACCAGCTCCAAATACATGCCAAAAAATGCTGGCTTCACCAACAAAATCCTTAAAAACCCACTTTTTCCTTGCACAACAGCATGTTTTCCCCTTGGTTTTACAGACATAGGTGTGAAGGCCAGCTGTAAAACCAGATCACCAGAACTGAACAGGCCTATGAAAACAAAAATACTTGAGAGTTTATTAGATGAGCTGCTTTAAAGCGAGCAACTCAATCAGCAGAATTGGAGAAGCAGAGAATTAAGTGCAGTGATTGACATATATCAAGTAGGCTGTAACTTGTGTGGATATTGTGCCTGATCTTTCCCCTTTTCCTTCTCTTTTAATCATCTATCAACTGCTCTCTCTAAATGCATCCTTTTATTCATTTTTAGTAAAACCTTTATCTTTCTGACTTCAAATCACCTCTCCTTCCCATCAGTCAAGACCACTTTGGTCTTGGATTCTACTTTGTCTTTTCATCCTGGTAGCACTGTAAATCTGGCAAGTGTATTCCCATTCAGTTACCTAAGTCTTAAATAAACAAAACACTGAGCAACACAGGCTCACTTTGAATGATATCCTCTAACTGAGAGATGATATGTTTGTAATAATGACGTGGCCTAAATGAATCTTCTGGCTATCTCTGGTTATTTCTTTCTCCAGTATTTCTACTTCATTACAAAAAAAAGGCAGGATTTACTCTTGACAAAACCATGCAATGTTCTCCCCATTCCCCTTCTCCTAAGAGTATCCACACTGACAGTAGGGTTTATATTTCTCTGATGACTATAATTACTAGAAATGGCTCTTTTCAGGCTTTTTTTTAAAGAAAAATATAGTATTTATGATGCTCTTTTTCTGTTCACTCTCACAAGACAACTGTAAAACTTCAGAGGCTGCAGGCTATGTTCCCAAGTATTGTAGCAGTTCATCATTATCTTGCCAACTAACATACACGCCTCAATGTTACAGTCACCTCAGTTTTTGTTATTTATTCTAGACTAACTCCTTTAATTCTGTCGATAATCTTCTAAAGAATCAGAGAAGGCATTAAATATTCCACCCATCTCCACAAGTCATAATTTCTTACATATAAAATGAAGTGCACAACATTCATGATCTAGTAGCAAAGATGGCCATGTTTGATGTAGACTATCATCTTGCTAAGATTACATTTAACACGAGAAGCTAGGGACAACACAGGTGAACGATCACATTCACATAAAGTCAAAAAGTTGTTCTTATTTGGAAACTAATTACTACTTCAAATTCAAGGGACAGTTTACATCAACTTTTGTCTTCTCACATTTGCTCCAGCTGTTATTATCTTCTACTATTGTGCAATGGATTGCACAGCAAGGATTGCACATAGAACAAAAAGAACACATTGCTCAAAGCCATCAGTCCAGCAGCACCATTAAAACAGCCTGTGTTTTCTGTATCTGAACCACTACTGAATTAGGACACGTTGCTGTTTCTACAATGGTACAGTCATGGCTCTGTTTTTAAGTCAAGCTCATTGCCAACAGAGTTAAAAAAAAAAAAAAAAAAAAAAGAAAAAAGTGTAAAATCTATTAGTATTTCTGGATTTCTCATTGTGACTTTCACTAATACCCTCCTCTATATTCTCATTCCCTTTTAGAACCCTTTGTCAGAAAGAGTACCAGTTGGGATTTGATTTACTTGCTTTAATTTCTGAATATGTATGTTGAATATCTCTATGGTCAGTGAAAAAGTCAGAAGAAAAAAAAAACAAAAAAAAAACCTTGGCCTGAGGGCTGGGCAGAGCTGAGGGTAAAGTATGTCCATCAGTTAAAACAACACTAAACATTACAAGACAAATTATATCCACCAAAGTCAGTCAGAAGTGTGAGTGAGGCTTAAGACATAGGAATTCAAAGGAATACTATGTACTAGAAAACAAGGTGATGCCAGATTACCAACCAAACAAATAGATGCCTAGACACACTGCAGTTCCTCCTCCACACCCTATCAAAATTAATACAATTGAATAGCATCTCCTTCTCCAGCCATGTACAATCTGGCTTCATCTCACAGCAAACTGCCACACTTCTGTCTCTCAAAGCTTTAACTTTTCCCAGACTGGGAAGTCTTCCTAACTAGAGACTAACTAGAGACAATCCTTGCACTTACCTATTAGGGTAAAACATTTGCGAACACAAACAGTGGAGAAGTTCTGTTTTTCTCGTAAATGATCAGCAATTTGCCCAGACAGAATTATACAAAGCCAGCAGCCAAAATAAGGCAGCGCAGATAAAAAGCCATTCTGTTGAGACAAAAAGAAAAGAGTTAAAATACTGAAATTCAATGTGATGAAAAAAATCATCTGACTTGGAGCATTAAGAAAGTCTGAGTCAGGACCATTCATCTATGCAACTACAGTTGGCTTTCCTATGAGAGAGAAACGTAAGGATAGAAAAGATAAAGCATTTTAGTTACTGATGTGTAAACTCTTGATTGTATAATGTAATCTGGAACTACCAACACAGCCAGCTGAAGAACTCAAAGGTTTAAATCAGTGACTGGGATCAGGAAAAAGGAAACTGCAAAATATTGTGTGGTCATGAACTTGATCATGCAAGTATTTTGAAAGAGCAGCTTCAGATTAGATATGGCACAAGTTGCTTGAAGTAAGTGAGAGCTGTCACTACTAGTCAGAATTTTGAAAGCAGTTATGGAGTCTGTGATCTCAGATTCAATACTTTCAACAGTGTGTTATCCCACAACTATATGCTGACACATCTGATGCTGGCTATAATCAGACAAGATACAGAATTAGAACTTTCATTAGATTCAGTTTGAACATCCTATGGTCCTATTATTCAGGATCTGCCGTTACTTACACTGCTGTCACCTGCTAACTTCCCTTTCCTTAAAGGAAAGTTGTTTGGTAGTGACTTCTGCCTGAAACTGCATGTTTTTCTTCTGAAGAAGGAAAAAAAAGTTCTACTAAGTAGCATAGTAGAACTTAACCTAAACTGTGGTTAAAATGAAGTATCTGGATGGACAAGTATATTTGGCAAAGAAGACTGTATGGGAACTGCTGAGTCACAGCCTGAACCTCTGATTGATCACCTGAGGTGAGCCATGAGTCAGCCAGAGGAGCACAGGTGAAGGCAATTCTCCTGTACTGCCAGAAGCCAGGCTCCACCCTTCCTAGACCTATTTAAGAGCTGGCTACCAGTGGGGAAGGATCTCGTCTGGAGATCCCTCCTTCTGGTGCTTTGTGGTGAGCCCAACTAAGGGTAAGCCTTCCATTTATTCTCTTTTGTTATCATAGTCTACTTCGCCTAACTCTCTTGTTTATTTTGTGATTATAATATCTTAATATCCACTGATCGTAACAAATGTAAGAGGTTCCCTAGGACATTAAATCAGACACGAGGCCATAAACATGTTCTGCTCTTTCAACATTCAAATATGCCGTCTGCTGGATTTCAATGCTAAGCTTTCAAAAGTAACAATTAAAATTCTGAAAAACATAAGCTAGTCTTAATAACAACAACAAAGAAGCAATTTAATTGAAGCACTGTGCAAAGACACAGCATTGTATCTGCCACTCACTGAAGAAAGAAAAAGTGTTTATTTGGAAGGGGATTCAATCAGACTGAAGTGTTTTCTCCACCCTCTCCTTTAAACGTTTAGAATGTCACTTACCCAACGATACTGTTAATTTCCAATTAAAAGAAAAATAGTGCTTTTCATGAGTGAGCAAAAAAGTAGATAGCGTTTCTGAAGCTACAAAATAAACTGTAAGTTCTGAGGCAATCATGCAAACAAAGTAACATGAAATATGGGACTTTTCTATAGTTACCATTTTGTAATAGAAATATATACATTTTTAATATACTTATTGTTTTAAATCCATCTTTAAACAGAAAAAATGATCCAAAATGCTATTGCTAATTTAAATGTCAAATAATTTCTGAAATCCAGTGGAAATGTCAATGCAGATAACCTTGTAGATGTAGCTGCTTAATTATGGGGAATTATTTCACCATTTCCAAATTAAAAACTTACATCACAAGTTTTCTTAAACAGGTTAATATAGAAACTATTAATTATGGTTAAATATTACAACTATATAACTATGTATAGTTACTACAACTATAACTATAGTTAATTATAATAGCTATTTTCTTAATTATTTATCTCACCTCCTGTGCATCAAACCGCAGGATCTCCTTCATGTATGTGGGTAAGAGTGTGAGAAGTGTATAGAAAGTCCAGTTATAGGAGAAATGGGCTACAACAATAGCCCAGAGTGGAAGGGACTCCAGTATAGGTCTCCAGGGAACAGACTTCTGTGTAGTGAGCTAGCAAGAAGGAAAAGAGGAGAAAAAAAAAAACTAGAACATCAAGATAAACTTAAACTACAGATGCTGTTATCCTACCCAAATCCACACTGATCACTCATTCAGAAGAGCACAATGTGAATTCATAGCAAAAGATGAATTAAATGGCAATGATGAAGTTACTGTTACCTTCTCGCTAAAGATATGCTTGTGCATGTTACTGCTCTGCTATTAATTATTGCAACTTAAACCAATCACTTTGTAATGGGAATCTTTTTGAAGTATATAGATAAAATATAATATATGCCTTCCCTTACCATGATTTGTTGCCTCTAGTTCTTACCACAAATGATTAAACATGTAAGGTCAGTCTTATGCATTTGGCTGAATCTTTCCTACTCAGTCCTAGATATTAACTCAGACTGCTTCACAGCTTAGAAACGTGTATCCTCAGTCAAATGGCTCATAATAGAATCTCCAAAATGTTTTCTCTGCAAATAGTAATCTCTCTCTTCTCTATCATAGAAGACACATGTTGAAAATACTGTTTTACAAATTTTTAAGGCATCATACTGGTCTGGTTTTGGTATTAAAAAAAGCTCAAGTTGTATTACTTATTAAAATAACATCACAATAATAGCAGTGACAAAAAGCATTATCATAAATGTTTTTATTGACTACCAGTTTTTCTCATTTACACAATTGCATCGTATTTTTCTTTTCTTGACATACACTGTCTTTATTGCAGATTAATGATGTTTTTCTAGACATCAGAGCATTATGCTAATAACAATACTTGTAGTTTATGTTATTACTTAAGAAAACATGATTACAATAATGTGCTATACCTGGTCTTTTAAAGAAGAAAGAATATATTCTCTTTCAGCACGTGAAATACTCTTGTGAGTTTCTGGTTTATCACTAACAAGCCACATCCAGAAGAAGAACCACAATACACCAAGGGCACCTGTTATTGGAAAAACATGGATGAGGAGGTATAAATAAAAACAGAATAAATTCTGTTGAGTGAATAATATTCTCAGATAATTGAGGAAAATTAATATCCATTAAAATTATATTAAAGCATCCGGAAAAACTTTCTTTACTTACAAACAGTAGCTCCCCCAAGAGGCTTAACAATACAGTAAGTAGTAAAGGATGACTTTAGGAAAGTGATGTTTGTTCTGTTTTTGTTTTGGTTTGTCTTCCCCTCTAGCAAGTGCCTTGTAGAGCAAGGAAAATGCATACATATACATATTGTATTTTTATTTGTCACATAGAACAGCCATGAAGAATACAGCTCACACAGAGGAATTTAATCTCAAAAAACCCTTAGCATGATATGTATCACTACATATAGCTTAACTGATGTACCAGCATCTATTTTCCTTTTTAAGCAAAGCTTCCAGAACTATCATTTGAAAAAGTTAACTTTTTCAATAATCAAGCCAAATTGGCTGCATTTTTACTTGACAACCAGTGTAACTTTTTTCCACTTGTCTAGTTCCATTTCCTTCTTTTTTAATTACACAAAAATCAAGAGCATGTCTTGATGAACAAAGTGTAAGCTTTCCATTTTATTATTCTTTTCCCTATGCAGAACATGAAACAGCTTAGAAATGTAAACAGTCCAATAAAAAGTATCAGTTTGATCTATGACATCTTATCAGAAAATTTATTATGTTTGAGCTCCTTCTAGAACACAGCTCACAGTAAACATGCTATGCTTTGCATTTTGGACATTCTTTCGAAGTTCCTGTGGCTGCTAGAGAAATATTACACACAGTCTCCATTTAAAGCAGCAGTAACTTTTCACATGTTCTTTCACGCAGAGTAGAAATTCACTCCTGGGATTAACATTATTAACTCAATTTCACAGAATCACAGAATTGTAGGGGTTGGAAGGGACCTCCAGAGATCATAGAGTCCAACCCCAATTTCACACTTCAAGTAAGTAATTCCAGCCTGTTATTTCTGCATGGAGGGAAATGCTGGAAACGTTTGACTTGTGCTAGCTTTTGTCCCCCTTGGAGACATCTTTGCTCATTGGAAGCAAAGCTCATATATCCATGCAAAGGAATTCACTTGCTTTAAATATCTCTACTCCCCAGGAGGAAAAGAAATGACAGCCCTACATCAAACGTATTTTTAAAAACTTAAAGTTTCATACAACAGGTAATAAACAATATACTGTGGCTTACAAAAAGAATATGGATCATAAATTTAATAATAAAAACTCTTACCAAATATGTAAAACACATAAACCCAGTTCATATAGTAGCAAATTAAACCAGACAGTGGCAGAGAGACAACAGTTCCCAGCTGTGCACCTAGCAGAGGAAAGCAAACCAAAGTATAAAAATAATCGTTAGTTCATCATTAGACTCTTTAAATTAAGTGTTGTTTTCACTTTTGTTTTCCTGCAAAAATCATGCAGGTAAGATTTGCCACTGACTACCAGAAAAATGGCACAACAAACTGCTTTGCCAAATCCAAAGAAATGGAGGTCATAAACATCCAAAATAATAAGCAAAGAGCAATAAAAAAAAAAAAAAATCCTGACACATTCACCTCCAAACAAGTGGTGGCTACAATACATTCAAAATGATACCACTCAATCAACAGACACTGCTGAGGAAACTGACTACAGTACAATTACAGACCTTGGAAGGAAGGAGAGGAAATAATATTCTGATGATATGTAATTAGTTTACATTGCTTATAGCTCCTGCTAGTAGTACTGAAACAGGAATGCTGGAGACAAGAGCCAGAAGGTATCCATATAACCAGCAGGTTCTAACTACACAGTCCCTAAATTTGGGTCCTTAAATTTGATCTTCAGGCAAAGAAGGGAAAGATGAGCAGATTCCAGCTCAGATATTAGCAGGAAAGAGCAGCTCTTGAATCATAATTAAAGAAGTATTGTGGCAAGGGTGGAAGTGGCACCCATATTGTTTACATAATTAGGAATACTCAACTGGGGACAAATACTGAAGCTTATCTCTTCATGTTAATTATACAATTGCTTTTCCAAATCCAATCTCAATTCAGAAAACATTAGATTACATTAACATGGCGGCTGCCTAGATGCCATCTTTTTGGAACAGTTTTTGTTTGAGGCAGAAAAGCTTCAACTACAAAACAACAAAACCGAGTACTCTGTTAAATACCCACCAAAAAGACAATTATATGCAACTCAGTCATGTGCTCCCTTGGAAAGTCAATACTGTCACGACTTTCTAAGCTGCAGACCACATGACTGCCAACTATGGAAACGCAAGGAAAAGGAGGGAAAGGAAACACTTTGCTAAGATTATGCAAGATGCCTTATCCATCCATGCCTGCTTACTATCAGTTGTTCAAGGCCAAGGTCTCTTCTCACTTACACTTTGGAATGCGGCTTCACAAAGGAACAATTTAAAAGCTCCTAAAGCTAAAAGCAATAAGTGACAATCCCAGCTCCTTGCTCTCCACTTTTGTGTGCTGGCTCTCACATGCAGACTTTTTTTAAAAGCAGATTTAATTCACTAGTGTGGGAGAAAACATACAAAAAAGAGAAGAAACCGCCTGATGCACTAGGTGGGTTAAAGTGGCTCATGTGAGGGTCTGAAATAGCATACAGGAAGGAACGAAGCATGTGGCTACAAGGGAAGTGTGAAAATAGGAAGATGAGAGAACTAAGGCTTCATTCCTGCTGGCAGAAGTCTGCTACTAGACTGCAGTTGGTGCTTACATGGTATAGCCCTGTCTTCTTGATGAAGCCCAGGTCCAAGAAGTAAGCTGTCACAGAATTAATACTGACAGAAAGTTAAATGAGCCATTAACAGAATTTAAAATTTGTAACCCTTAGAGCAGAAACATACTTGGACTGGTAAATTCAGAACACTGTATTTTTCACTCGCTCCACACATAGTGGATTGAGTAGTCTGTCAGACAAGTAAAACTTGAAAACAGAAGGCAGCTCAGTGTGTATGGGCAAAAGCAATGCACCCATGAAGCTCAGGGAATAATGCAGGGTGTCACTAATTAGAGCCACTGTTAAAAAACAAAACAAAACAAAACAAAAAAAAACCCACCCTGGCTATCTCAACACAAAGGGGACTGGAGGCAGCCTTTGCCTTGAACAAACAGCCCTGTCATCAGTTGAGTAGATCAATTGATAGTGTAGATGTTTCTCCCTACAAGCATGTGAATGGCTGTCTCTTTTAGATTGCTGTACCAGTACCAGGGGAGTGAATACAAGACACCTCTCAGAGTATAAAAATTGAACAATCTTGAAAATAATTTTGAAAAGAGCATCAGGCTTGAGCTGGCTTCAACCCACATACTGCTTCCCACCAAGTGGAACTGCCCAGCATCACAACCATGAGCATATACAGATAAGGGGAATCACACTGATATTGTGATTGAACTGGGTATTGTAACTTCTATACTTTGCAAAATGTAAATTGTATCTGTCTTATGTTCTCAGAATATGCTGTAAATCAAAAGTTCTACGTAACATCAAGTATCTTCAAAGTAATAAATTTCCTATGAAACATTACATCCTCCACACATGGAATGCCTAAAAGAACATGGAACTGATCTCTGAATCTTCTTCAAGCAGCTTGAAGCACTACTGAGAGCTACCTTGAGTTCCCCCAAAAACACCTTAAAAAAAAAAAAAGAAGCCATATCCTGTGATTTTGCATTATTGCCCTATTTTGTTTCTGCTATTGCATCTCCTTTGTTCACAGTATCTTCTATTAATCAGCTTCACAGTAACTCCTTGCACCACTTGATACTGCAGCTTGAAGTTTATACATCATTGCAAATGAATACCTTTTCTCAAGGCTACAAAAGCCATAAAAAGCAACGATAATGAATGCAAAGCAAGATTTAACTCAATGCTATGCTTTCCAGATTAAAATCCTGATTAAAACTGATAATATAAATCCCTTTGATTTAAGTCAATCCTCCCTGTTACAGCAGTAAAAATGCATAAGCCTGTTATTAGCGTGGGAATTTCTCACCTGCATATGAAATACTAAGGAGCTTGCTGCGTTCCAGGGGAGGAGCCCAAGAAGACCACATTGAATGCATAGCTGGGAAGGTAACACCCTAGATAAAAAAGAATCAATTCTGTTAAAAAGTAGCAGTTTTATAATTTCTTTCAAGTTTCCGTGTTTCAAACTGCATTTCATTAAAAAGCAGTAGAAAGATTTGTTAGGCTCTTGTTTAGAATGAAACCACTTGGGGAAAACAAAAAAACAACAGCATGCAGTGTATGAAAATCAAGAAGCAGAATCAATTTCTTCTGCTTTTGATTCCGTATATACTGGAAAAGCTGCAAGAACACAAACAATACTCTTTTGAACTCCTGGGTTCTGACTAAGTGATGGATAACTCCAGTTTTGTCTTAAGTGTCCTTATAAATAAAAAATACGATGTACTTGTTAATTATTCAAAAAAGTAAAAATAAGCTACTCGAAATAAAACAATCCACATGCTACTACAGCATACCAATATTCACAGGGTCTAATTACTATGACGTGCCAATACATTATTCAGATATATGTTCAAGTTACATAGAGGAAAACCGTTACCTCTCCCAGTCCTTCCAAGGCTCTGACAGCAATGAGGTAGCCAACTCCCAAATCTGCAGCTAGTGGAGTAAGCAAGGTGAACACAGAGGTACCAAAGATGCCAAACCCCAACAAGAGCTTCCCTCCAATTTTGTTTGCAAGATATCCACCTGGAACCTGAGTAATGATATAGCCATAGAAAAAAGAACCAAGGATCCATCCCTGAGTATCAGCATCCCAAGAATACTTTTTCCCCTAAAAAGAGAAAACAAAACCCAAAATACAGTAAGTTCAAAATAGTTTCTCTGACCACATTTTACACAAATTCAATCCCTTTTTTAATCTTTCATAGCTAAATCACAAATCTTTCATGGCCTCCCCCCTAGGGAGGCAATCAAAGTTGCACTGGAAGTAGTTTACACTGCGCAAACGTATCCAGGCCAAGTACAAAAGTCATCACAACATTAAATAGAAGTCATCAGGCGATTATCCCTTTCTTGGTTAAGTGATAAAGGTGCTGGTTGCAGGGATGTGCTTACATGAAAGTGGATCTCAATTCCATATCACATTCTGACACTCTGAAAAACCGATTTTCCTGCAGAAAACTTTCAGAGAGAAAAGCAAGCAAAGAGATGCAGATGTCTAAATTTAAAATGAAGAAAGAGTAGACAAGGACAGGATAGGTGACAGACAAAGACAGAGATATGTGGAAGAACAGAATAAGGATGGCAGAGCGAAGGTAAGTCTGGCAGATGATACATTAAAGGCACAGATAATTGAGATAAGGAAGTTAGAGTCAACAAGAGGACATCAATCATTGCCCAAGAAGTGATTTTGAAGTCTGGGATCATTCCCAGAAGTCCTCTAAATAAGCAGCATCCATTTCACAGAAGCAATGAAGGAGAACAATTCTTCCCATTCCACACGTGGTTATAATTTGCTCCCAATAAATAATAAATGACCTCTAAACAAACAAAATGAAGGCAAGAAGAGGGCAAGAGTGCTCATTAATAAACTTAATTATGATGTGAGATCTATGCAAGTCCAAATCAACTGAACTTCTTTTTTTTTTTTTTTAATGTAACTTCATAGGTAAGAAACGGGATTTTAAGGATTGCTGTGTGGAAAGTCAATAGATGAAGGACACAAAGACAAGAACCATGATCTGGGAAGGGGATCAAAGAAGCGAGGGAAAAAATGCTGCACATTAATTTGTAATAAAATTTCATGCCATCAAGACTGTGTGGAAAACAATTAAATACAGAGAGTGATGTGAGCTCTGACGCACATGTAACACTAATGGTTGATCACTGGCATATAAAAGTGCGTCATAATAGATCTACAAGGTCAGATCAGCCAATTTGTAAAGAAGGGTGAAGAGAGGATATGCATTAAAAAACAACACATCTGACCATGAGCACAGCACTTCTAAATCAGCTGGTTATTTAGAGACATTATGTTTCAGAATTGCTTTAAAAGAACCACTGTAAGGGCCATCTGCTACAGATCAGCCAGTTCTCCTGTCATTTAAGTATGAGTCACCTATTGCAAACTTTATTAAAAACAACTTTACATGCTACGTTTCAGAACAATACGCTTGAGACCTCACCGTTGTGTTGCGAGGAACATTTATGGTGGAGGAATGCTCTGGACACACATTGGAAGTTGTATTCTTTGCTAAGCTTGTGTTAGGTTCCACCATGTCCACCAGAGCAACGCTTAGGTTCACACGTAACGCATACAGAAGGAAGAACCCAAAAAAGGCCAGCAGTGCCAGATTGTAGCGAGCTGAGCAGCATGCAGGGACTGAAATGAGAATAAATAAGAAGGTTTTGTTTTAACACAACCTAACAAACAAGCAAAAAAAAACCCAAAACAAGTGAGAATTTTTTTTTGAAGCTAATAATCTCAGAAATTTGTGGATTAGAAAAAATAAGTCAAGAAAAGTTGATTGTTCCAGTCTCAAGGGGCATATCAGCAGGGACAGAGGATCGGGGTAGAAAAATAACGTTCGTTTTTCTGTTGGAGTGCAAAGGAAAAGTAATTCTGGTTTAGGCTATGTGGTGGTTATGCACACAAGTGTAGAGGCTGCAGTGGAAGTGCTGGTTTAGAAATGTGGTTTTGAAAGCTCTCTGGAAAATACAGTAATAATTACTGAAATTGGAATTTCACATAAAAAAAAAACTGCAGGAAAAAAAAAAGAGAGAGGGACTAGTGAGAAGTTTGTTAAGTAACTAAAAAAAAAAACCATAGAATCATGAAGGTTGGAAAAAAATTACTATGATTATCTAGCTCAATTGTCAACCCATCCCCATCACGCCCACTGAACCATGTTCCTCAGTACCATATCTACATGTTCCTTGAACATCTCTGGGGATGGTGACTTCACCACCTCCCTGTGCAGCTTATGCCAATGCCTCACTCATTGTTTCCGAGAAGAAATCTATCTATTACTCAACCTGAACCTCCTGAGCAACTTAAGGCCATTATCTCTCATCCTATTGAAAATGGTTCAAGATGGACAGAAACTTTTATGGTAGCATTAATGAACAGCCAATGAGATTCCAGATAGTTTTCTAGGACAAGTTTTCCCTTCTATAAATTTGTTTATAAAGCAATATGCATTTGCTAACAACTGCCTAAGCGAGAAAACTTGCAGGAAATCTGATAGCAAATACTGCCAATGCACTGCAGAACAGCAGCAGTTCCCAGATGCCCACTCTTTCCCCTCTTCAACAGCTGAAGCTGACAAAGGAAAATAGGTTTTAGATTTGACATTAAACTTGCACTGTGGCATTAAGATGACTATCAGCCATTTATAATCAGCTTTCAGACTTTGCACTGTCACAGGTATCGATTTCCCCTAATGGGAGAACACCACAGCCTTTGGCAGAGATTACCCACCCATGCCAGGAAGTTAGAAGCAGAGTCAAGCTGCATCTTGGCCAGCACATCACTGGTGGCCATAGGAAGGCTACACACAAGCACACTTAGTAGTTCTGCAGATACTCTTTGTATGGGGATGGCTGAACCTACCCAAGCATTGAATTGCTAAGAAAACAAATAGTTACAAAGTAGAGTTTCCTTTTGTGAGATCTATGAACAACAGGACTGACTAGAGCCCAATCTGCAGCTGCAGCATGTCTCTTGACTACATTTTCTGATCTGCAATAAGAAGCAAAAAAGCATTCCCTGTGGATAAGATATCTAAAGACTCTTTCTTATCCCAGAAACAAGGAACCCTTGGTTGTAGGGGCACCAACAGAACCTTCCTATAAAACTGTAGTTTTCATGAAAGTTGTAGAACGTTCTCATTTTTGAGGTCTCTATCACTGATCAACTTCATCTGAAGTTCACTATTGTTAATGCAAGCTGTTAAAAGGACAGCAAGGCAGCATTTGTTCTTTCTTTAGTAAATGAGTAACATGATAGGCTGCTAAGCAAATACATAAAGCATCTTCCAGACCAACAGCAATGACAGGAGCAGCATTTGAAAAATAGGCTTATCTCACTTTTAAATGATATAAGTGACAGCAGCCAATAATTTATTGCATGCTTTACAAAAAAAAGCAGGCACCAAGAGCAGGAAGTGCTTACTGTACAAAAACAAGCCGAGACCTTCATTGTTATTCAAAATGCAATTTCCTTTAAATAGAAAATGTATAGTCTTCAAATTAGTAGCAGTGAACATAATCACAAGAAGAGTTATTTAACCTTCCTACTGTTGTACCTGTATTAGCTGGAGTTACACAATAACAGAAGATTTAATACTGTACCATGCTGTAACCTTCTCAGGTACAGTTTAACCATTATTCTACTTCTGGACATCTCTTACTGGTATACACTTCAGAGAGCAATCTTCACAACACAAATATGTAACAACTCCAAGCCACTAATGTCATTTTTTTTTTTTTCTTCCTGCTGTAAATAACTTATCACAGATGTCTAATGAACACACAGATTTATAAGGTTGAAACAAAAGTCTGCTAAATTATTGCTTCCCTATCTTCCCACTGAGTATATCTGTAATACTTGAGAATATGAGGTCACATTAAAGGAACAGAAGATTCAAGAAGATTCTAGATGAGTTTCCCAAGGTTACGCACCTCCTCAGAACATCACCATATTTACTGGCAAAGAGATACTGCCATCATCCCCCAAAACTTCACGATGTTGAAGATCTTACCTTGACCGGCACCCTCGGGTCCTACATCTAGGGATAACGCTGATTGCAGGGGCATGTTTTATAGCACTAAAGCTATAACTGAACAAGAGTCTTAAATTGCAGAATTAGGTCTGTGCTGAAGGTCGCATGGCAGTTGTAGGAAGTTGCTTTTCTACCGCATTTTCCTTTTGGGTGAGGTGCATCACGATGGATTGTGCAAGCCCAAGAATGTACTGCTTTGGTAAACGACCTGAACTCTTAATTCCCCGCTGGCGCTTTTCAGTTGTTTTGCTGTACTACATATCTCAGAAGCACAAACAGTGAAGGAACTCAAAGTCTCACAGCTGTCCGTACAGCCTGTCCTGGGAGAGCCCACAGAACACCCTGATCTGCCTCATCTCACCTGGGCCCTGACCTTTAATGATCGCCTTCTCACTTTCATAGAATCATAGAATTGAGTTGGAAGGGATCCTCAGAGGTCATCTAGGCCAGCTTCCCTGCAATGAACAGGGACAGCACAGCTAAGCTAGATCAGGTTGCTCAGAGCCCCGTCCAGCCTGACCTTGAACATCTCCAAGGATGGGCATCCACCACATCTCCAGCCAACATGTTCCAACGCTTCACTATCCTCGATGTAAAAAACTCCTTCCTTATATCCAATCTAAATCTCCCCTCTTTTAATCTGAAGCCATTTCCCCTTGTCCATACACAGATGGAGAGCATGTCCCATTTTTTCTTACAGCCTCCGTTTAGATCCTGAGAAGCTGCTCTCGGGTCTCCCCAGAGCCTTCTCTCCTCCAGGCTGACCAGCCCCAGCTCTCAGCCTGCCCTCTTAGGGGAGGCATTTCACCCCCTGAATCAGTTTTACATCTTATCCTCATGCTGCCTCCCCACACGCCCTCTTCTGCCCCCCGCTGCCAGCTACCCGCCTTAGTCACGCTCGGTCTTGAAGGTCTGCCGCACCTCAGCAGATCCCGCCGAGCAGACACCGACCCGAGGTTCGAGCTATTTACGTGCAAAAGAAACCACTGGGATGCATCTCCCTGTCACCGCGCTGAGAACGAGGCCGCCTCTCCCTTCAAGGACAGCGGTAGGGGCCCGGCCAGAGCGAAGCGAGCCCTGGGGGCACCATGGCAACGAGACGCCGGGGAGGTGCGCCCCCTGCCGGCCCTGCGGCGGGGCACGGCCGGTGGCAATGCTGCCCGCGGCGCCGCAGCCCGCGTATCTCACCCGCGCCGAGCTGGGAGTCCTTCAGCAGCGGGGTGCGATCCTCTCTTTCCTCGGGCTCCATCTCGTTCCTGCTGCCCGCTCCGCGCAGCGAGCCCAGCGCCAGCTTGCCGGCCGCCACCGCAGAGAGGCCCAAACACGGCTGGCAGCGCCGCAGCCCACTGGCACTGCCCCGCCGTGCCGCGCCGCGCTCTGCCCCGCTGGCGCCGGGCAGCAGCCGCCGCAGCCCGGTGGTCACGTGATGGGAGCTGACGGGCGGAAGCGGCCTCAGCCGCAGGTTGGCGCCGCTCCCGGCCCGTCCGCTGCCGCCATCTTTGGTAAGGGCAGCGCTAGGCGGGCGGGGCGGGCAGGAGGAAGAGGCTGAGTGGGGGTTCGGTGCAAACGTGTGCTGTCATTTGTCGTTTTGGGGAAAAAGTTACTCTTATTTACGTCAAATGCGCAAAAGCCGCAGTTCTCCCTGGTGTCATCTCGAGTATCATCAGAGCCACGCCACAGGGTGGGGCCATGGGGGATCGCTTCCACCTGTAAGCTGAACCCCAGATTCTCGCTAGAATCCCCTCGTTACAACACGGCAACGGGGCTTCAGGAAGTGGATCGACCAGCAGAGTTTTTCTTAAGCTTTCTCTTTTTTGGTCTATCTCACTTGTTTCTTCTCACCGAGGCCAGTTGTATCTTGAAGCTGCTATGAGATAATACCAATAAACCTTTCAGTGGCAAGGAATGTGCTTTTCTCTGCGCAGCTTCCTCCTTCCCGGGACTTGCTGATTCATTGGTGAGCAAATCTCCCCAGTGAGAGACACTGCTCTGAGAGCAGCTTGATTGCAAGGCTGCAGCCACAGAGTCAAAAGATGACATCTGTAAAATACAGATTTAGGAGTGTGTGTGGTGCACTCGATCCGTCCTTACTTACTGAAGAATGACTTAATGTATAGATGTACATAAATGGGTGGTTTCCTTGCACCCAGTCGACCACTCGGTACTGGTTGTCGCTTGTGTCATACTTGTTATGCACACCTAATGTGAAGGGTTTTTTGTATTTTCTGTTTTCATTTCTTTTTACTTTTAGAAAGGGATGCTATTTGTGCTTAACTACTGGCTGCTGGCAGCGTTGGCTGCAGCTGTCTGAGCCAGGCTGGGGAGATGAGGGACCAGCAGTGCTCAGCAGCCTGCATCCTTTGCCACCTGGACCCGCAGCGTGAGGAAAAATAGCAATGCTTTGAGCTTTTTTTGCTGAATCTCACCTTGGTGTTGTTTCACGCAATGAAACTGAAAAGATCCTGCAGCCTGCCTTACTTCGAGCAGCAGGTGGCTCCCTTTCCTCTGAAGTCTGGCTGGAGAGAGAAACTCTGGCTTCGTTCCTTCCAGTGCCAGGGCTCATTCAGCAGTACAGGCATGTTTCTGGTGTTGTCATAGGAAGTGGGCTGTTTTCTTTTATTGCCTGTTTTAAATGGTTTAACACAGTGTATAGTAAATACTGTGCTTGCCATGGATTGCTTAGAAAATGAAGGTAGGAAAAAGGTCTGAGAAAATACATCAGCAGTGCTAACCTGAGCTGCAGCATTTCTTCATGGAACATTCTGAAGAGTTATGAACATTTATAGGATATATTTTAAAAGTTGTCCGATTCTGAGTTATTTGCATCTTTTATTGATCTCTTGTTACTAATACTGCAAGATCCTCACTTTCAAACCATGTTTTAAAAGATAAGTAGAAGAGAAGAACAGAGAAATACAGCCTTTACCTGTAAGAATCAACTGATTACTCCTAAATAACTGGAAGTGACATAAACAGAGTTCAGTCTTTACTCAAGAAGACTGAAAATTGAAATATTTACTTCAAAGTTGTCTAACTCTTCTTATACTCAGTGCAGTGTTCTATGGTAACTGTTGAGTCATGGCCTGAACCACTGATTGAGCACCTGGGAAAGGACCCAGCAGCCCTGGGAGCACAGGTGAAGGCAATTCAGCTGTGTGACTGGAAGGGTTGGAGCCTGGCTGCACCTCTCTTAGGTCCCATCTAAGGGCTAACTGCCACTGGGGAAGAATCTCTGGTTGGAGATCTCTCCCTTGGGGAGTCTTTTCTGTGAACCTAGATATTCAGAGATGGGTGAGCATTTTTTCTTTGAAACACCAGTCTACCTGTGCTAGTCCCTTTGCTATTATGCTCCTCTATTGCCCTTTTACTGTGTTAATCTTTCTGATTGTAATGAGTGTATAGCATTTTTATGTTTTAAATGGCTAATAAGGGTGTTTATGCTTTAGAGAACTTATAAAATGAAAGAATGTTAACGTGTCAGATCAATTAGACTGAAAAAAAAATATCAGAAATGCAAATGCATCCAAGCAAAAAATGTTTTGCGTTTCGCACAAAAGAAGAGGTTACAGTCAATCAAAAAGGAAAAAAAGAATTCTTCTCCTTTCTATAAAGTTGAATACAAAGTTATTACTAAATCACGCATAAGATGATGTTGACCAAATCAGAATTGGTATTTGGGACTCTGGTAGTACAGCGTGTTTTCATCTGTTTGAAAATATTCTGCCTGTGACAAGTGCCTTAGGGCTTCTGTCGCCATGGCTATCCTTGCATGGAGGTCTGTTATCATGGCTACTCCTTCTGTCACTGGCTAGGAGAGGCAGTCCATGCAGTTTAATTTTGGGTAGTGGCTGTGGCTGCAGAAAGCCTGGGACTTCCCACAAGCAGCACTGCTTTCAGTTAGAAGAGAGGAAACGTATTGCATCCTCTACAAAGTACTCCTCTGGGTTATAGAGCAGTGCTGAACTGGAGTCAGAGAAGTGACTTAGGCTTTGCATAGCTTAAATTGTAGTGCTGTGGCAGCCGGTTGGAGTATCTGAAGGAAGCAAGGCAACCTTGTTGTCTAGACTTCCTTACTTTGAGGTATTCTTCCTGATGGAAATACAAGAAGCAATGACTCTGGACATCTCTTATTAAACAGCTGGCCTGTGTTGAGGGCACTAACCAGCATATGGCAACAAGGATTCTTAGTTCTCTTCTGTCTGTTCTACCTCTGAAGTGAACCTCAGACAAGGCAATGCATTGGGGCTTTGTGAAATCCTTCTTTTTAACAGTAGTCACTTCTATGTGACTACACGTCTATGCTCAGTATCCCTGACAGGTTTGTCTTTCCCTATTTTACACTATCAATTTTGGAGCCTATATAGGATTCTTCACCAAGGAGTTCCACAACTGAACTATCCCCTCCAGAAATGGGTATGGTCTCTAAACCCTTTGTGAAGACTTTTCTCTCCTTATGCACTTGTCTGTTCACAGATACATTAGGCTTTAAGGTGTTTTACCAGTGGAGGCTCAGATGCTAAAATATGAGGAGTCTGTGGATTTGAAAGACTATCTTATGAATTCCAGTGGTGTCCACAAATGTGGACTCATTCACAGCAGTGAATCTAATTAATTTGAAATTATGTCTAATAGTGCAGGATCTCTTAAGACTGTTTGAAGGAATAGAGAATGGCTTTGCTAGTTTTTACCAGCAGGTGTCTAAGGAGGATGTAAATAAATCTGAAGATTCTCAGAAAAAATTTACTGAAGATGGTATTCAGATGTGCCTAGAAAACATGTTTGCTACAAAAAAGGCACATCTCCTTTGATGTTGACTTGAAAAATATTGAATTGTGAAAGAGCAAATGTGATGTTTTTTTCTAAAGCAACTTATTATAATGTAGTTCAAAATTAAGCCTCCTATTAGTCATGCTTTGTTTGAAAATAAACATAATTTGTAGTAATTATCGTAGAATTACAGTATCATTTGAGTCGGAAGGGACTTCTAAAGGTCATGTAACGTTTTCGTAACTGAGTCAACCTGCAAATATTTACATCTGAGGAATGTACATAAAATATACATTATAAACTTTATATAAAATACATTATGACTTGTGTTTAAGGCATAGGAGTTCCCACTTGCCCTGCAGAAATGTCAGGAAGAGCTGGAGGTCACCCTGTGGGATTTGACAAACGTATACTCCTGCTAGTAGATGAACAACTGATTATGGTTAGTGAATCTCCTATAGGTACACTGGATGTAAATTTTCATTGTACCTCACTGAGGGAGCCAAAAAAGTATTACAACATGTAAATGCAACTTGTACTTCCTTACCACTAAGTCTCATG